TAGGTCTCATGGCGAAGCAGCTTCTTCACCAGCTTCCGATGCCTTTTCTTCTCCACAGTCGCTGCTACCTCCGTAACGGTGCCGTTTTGTAGCTTCTTCTCTTAAAATGCCACAACCACATTCCTCCAATCTCTCACCGACGCTTTTCTAGGTTTGCTCTCTTCTCTCTCAGTCTCGAACTCAAGAACTCATCTTTTTTGGTTTAATCTGCCTAAACACTTAATGGGTTCTTCTGATCCTCGTGAATGTGAGGAGAGAAACGATTCGGAAATTTCCTCAATTATTGCAATAAAGATTTGAACTTTAACAAGACAAAAAAACAATTCAAGATTTTTCTTTCTTGAGTTTGTTAATTTGGCATGTGTTAATAGAAAGAGTCAGTTTTCATGATGTGGATACCTTTCTTTTCTAAGCTTTACCCCTAAATATCTCATTTTCGTGGCAAATTGACTTTATTAACTTTGGTGGGTCGGCAGGCGATTCACAAAACAATAATAAAAACGTAGAAGATTCGTGCAAGAGAGTTCACTTTATTTAGCTCACTAAAAAGAAATTTCACCTTTTTAGCTACTTTTTTCCCTCAAATCTTTATATGTCCGGAAAGGTACGATTAGTGTTTGCTTACAAGAACCATTGCTGTTTGGCTACAGATTCTATACAGGAAGATCAATATTTGTTTAAGGAGTTTTGTCAATGGAGCATTACGAGGTTCTTGAACAAATTGGGAAAGGGTCCTTTGGGTCAGCTCTTCTTGTGAGGCATAAGCATGAGAAGAAACTGTAAGAACTTCAAATGGAAACTTGAAAGATATTTTACTTGTTCAATGTTTTGATGTCTCTGCAATTGATTCTTTGTTATGTTGTGCTCTTTTGTGTGTTTGATGTCGGAAAGGTATGTTTTGAAGAAAATCCGGTTGGCTCGGCAGACTGGTAGAACAAGAAGATCTGCTCATCAAGAGGTTAATTCTAATCTCTTCTCCAACACAATGTGTTACAAAGACACACACACTGATGTATTTGCTTTCATGAGGCCAAATCTGTATGTGGAAACGAATACAAAATGTGGCTCCTTAAGAAGTATTTAAGACATGGATCAAGCAACTTCTCTAGTGTTTTACAGTTATCGAGCTCAAGAATTAAAAAAATTACAGTAAACAGCTATTAGGCTGTTAATAGAGCTGATATAATCTTAACTCTAAAAACTACAGATAAAAACACAAGTGTGCGCTCGTATATGAATGCCACAGTGTTTTCGGTCTTCAAAGAAATTCCACAGATTATGATTTTTTGACTAAACAGTTTTCGTTGTTATCTCTCTGTAGATGGAATTGATCTCAAAGATACGAAATCCATTTATTGTGGAATATAAAGATTCTTGGGTTGAAAAGGTACATTCTTCAAGCCTCTACATAACTTCAGTAGAGGGGTATTTGTATACGTATAAAAGTATATAATCGGCTATCTGATGTGTGTTTTCAGGGCTGCTATGTGTGCATTGTCATAGGCTATTGCAAAGGCGGTGACATGTAAATTGTTGTTTCCTTCTCAGAATATTTTGCACATTAGAGTCTAGAGGGGTTTCTGATGCATTGTTTCGTCTGCATTCCAGGGCCGAAGCAATAAAGAAAGCCAACGGCGTAGAATTCTCTGAAGAGGTGTTACACACATCTCTAAAGTGTTTTCTGAAAAATTAGTAGTACATAAAGTTCTGAATCTATTTTTTGGCTTTGTTTTTAGAAACTCTGCAAGTGGCTGGTACAACTCTTGATGGCTCTTGAATACTTGCATGTCAGTCACATTCTCCATCGCGATGTCAAGGTTGGTTATGATAACTAGTTCCGAGCATAACACAATAATTTATAACCTCCGTGTTCAAATTTTACTAATACAAATTCTACTGGTTTGGTACAGTGTTCAAACATATTCTTGACAAAGGATCAAGATATACGTCTAGGTAAGATGCTTAGCAAATATGTCAATTTATTATCCTTTTCCATTCTGCATGACACAGTTGGGTTTAATGACTTCTGCAGGTGATTTCGGACTTGCCAAGATCTTGACATCAGACGATCTTGCTTCTTCAGTAAGTATGGATTTCAGACATCTCCAATGATTTGTTTCTGGTCTCATATTTGGTTGTTACCCTTTTAAATCAGGTTGTTGGAACGCCAAGCTACATGTGCCCTGAGCTTCTTGCTGATATTCCATATGGGTCAAAGTCTGATATTTGGTCGCTGGGCAAGTTTCGCATTTATGGCTAAAACATTAACTTTGCTCTAGATAACAAAAATATTCATCCGAGTCTGTCTTCGTTTTCATTTCATTCAGGATGTTGTATGTATGAGATGACGGCTCTGAAACCGGCATTCAAAGCCTTTGTAAATTCTTCTCCATCCACAGCTTCAACATCACGTTGTCTTATGTTAATAATGTTCTGATATTCATTACATCTTTCTGCATTTTAGGACATGCAAGGGCTGATCAACAGGATAAACAGATCGATCGTTGCTCCACTTCCTGCGCAATATTCTACTGCCTTGTAAGTAAAGATTCTTATTTGTAACGTGAAACTATTAGAGCTTTATTGATGAGCTCAACAACTTCCATATGAATTGCATTCCTGCTTTCTCCAGCCGAAGTCTGGTTAAAATCATGCTCAGGAAGAACCCAGAACTCAGACCAAGCGTACGCACAATTCTGTGGCATTTGTGATAATTTAATCTGAGCTGTACAAACCTGATGAGTAATATTTCTCTTCTTCTGTGTAGGCTTCTGATCTTCTGAGACAGCCACTGCTTCAGCCCTACGTTCAACAAGTTCTTCTCAAGCTGAGCTACCGGGGACACGATACATTGCCTGCTCAATTACCAGAATCTGAATCCACAAGGAGAAGAAGCTATCCTGAGCAGAGAAGGCGTGCTTCTGGCAAAAGCAAGAGCTTTGGTCCAAGCAGGCTCGGGGTGGACCAGGAAGATTCTGTTTCTTCTGTTAAACCCGTTCACACATATTTGAACCGGCACAGGCCAGTGGATTTGTCTGCCAATGACAATGGTAGAGTGGTTGTTCGTAGACCCGCTGTTTCGAAAAATTCAGTGGTTTCTAACAGTTCAAAATATGTGCCAGTGAGATCAAACCAGCCTAAGAGGAGTGGTCTGGTAAGTGATTTGTCCAAATGCTCCTTATCTCACTCATGGCTGATTAAGTCTGTTCACATTTTTCAATCTTATGTGTCAGAAACCAGCAGCAGTGATTCGTAGAGCCTCCTTGCCTGTTTCGCATAAACCTGCAATACGAGCAAACGACTCTTTGTACAACCCTAGTATCGGTATACTCCATCAGCTAAAATCTCCAGATGTGTCTGTGAACTCGCCAAGAATTGACAAGATCAAATTCCCACTAGCTTCGTATGAAGAAATGCCATTCACTCCCGTTGTGCATAAGAAGAAAGGATCGTCCAGAGGATCATACAGCCCACCTCCAGAGCCACCACTAGACTGCTCAATCACAAAAGATAAATTCACACTTGAACCAGAACGAGAAAACAAAAGTGATATTTCCGACCAGAATGCGACTGCTGGAGCGTCAAGCAGAGCTTCCTCGGGGGCATCAAGGAGACAAAGATTTGATCCTAGCTCATATCGGCAACGGGCTGAGGCACTTGAAGGACTGCTTGAATTCAGCGCAAGATTGCTTCTAGACGAGAGGTATGATGAGTTGAATGTGTTACTGAAACCGTTTGGTCCGGGAAAAGTATCACCCCGAGAAACAGCGATATGGTTGTCCAAGAGCTTCAAGGAAACTAGTACTACTAGTAAGCTGGAAGATTGAGAAACATGTACCTACTTTTTTAAAAAACTTGTTGAGGGCATGATGCTTCCACGATTTGATAGAAATTGTTGGACACTTAATTAGGCAGTGTTCTTCGAAGCTAACCCATGTATCCAAAATATACAGCTTCCTCTTGTCTATGTAATCGTTTTTGTTCCAGTCAACCACATTGTTCAAGTACTAAGTATGATATGGTGCAGTTGTTTTTTTATTATTCTTATTAAAACGCAGCGATTAGATCGTCTTTGACTTGAACCGGCTATTGAGATTAATCTAGATCGGTACAACTATAAATCGAACCGGTCTGATGGTTTCTTGGTAGGGGAATTCGAGAGAAAGGACTTTGTTTCCAGTAGTAACAAGGAGAAAGACGAGAGAGAGGGAGATGGTGACGAAAACAGAGGAGACACAGTTGAAGCAGCTCGAGAATCAGGTCGACAATGGCGGAGGTGGGGCTTGGGAGTATCTTTGTCTCGTTCGCAAGCTGAAGATTCGCCGGTCGGAGAAAGTGTTAAAGCACGGTTCCTCCATCTTGAATGATCCGGGGAAGCGATCTGCTCTCGGTCCAGATGGTCTGTTCATTTCAAATCCCTCATTCATCTTTCGTTTGATGAATTCATTCATGTGTCCTTCCTAATTGTTCGATCGTGCTCTGTCCAATTCTGAGATTTCGAGAGCTTTACTAGATTTGGTTTTATTTTCCGAAACTTGTGTTTGTTCTTAAATCGTAGCTGATCAAGTGAAACTGAACATGTGTTCTAGAGGCAAGTTTGTAGCTGATCAAAGGTCTCAACTCAATTCACTCTGATTTTGTTAAAGGGAGCTTAGTATTCAAACGTTTCAGAATTGCTTCATCTTTGATGGATCCTATAAGCAATTCAATTTTGATAGCTAATGCGCTACAGTTTGGATTAATGGTGTGGCCATCTTTTTTAATGATCTGTGAAATTGTTTCTTGACTATGCAATTGTTTGCTGAATAGGTTAAAATCCTCACATCTTTGCCAAACTTGTTTTGATTCTTTTTATTTATTGTCTACATGCTATAGATTTTTGCAAGTTTGCAATTATATTCAAAACTATATTAACATATTCTGCTGCTCTTATGTTTATCCATGTAACTAAATGGATTCTCTTATTCTTTCTGTTTAGAGTGGACTCTAAACGAGCAGGTGGCAATTGCAGCCATGGACTGTCAATGTCTTGATGTCGCACAGGTGTGTATATTTGCTTCACACTTTCTCCTTTCTGCTTTTCACCTTCCCGCGAATACCTCGAGAAGCAACTTTTATACAGGATCTCACTTTGTTGGCTTGCTCTACTTCTCTTTCCCAGCAAATGCTGAAGCTATATCCTCTGGGCCAAAAAATTAACGTTATATAGTTCTGTTCCGTAGCATGAGTGTGTTCTGATAGGAATTAAGTAGTATTATTGTTTCCGAAGTATGAAGGGTTGAGTTGCACACACTCCAATGTAGCTCATCAATTTCTTTCCTCTAAACGA